ACTCGATCAAGTTAGTCGCCTCTTATGACAAGCATGGGTTACTGAAGGTTCATTCTAACCAGGACCTTCACGGGTTCGGTCTATTCTAAATATAACAGACGAATCAGTCATTCTGGACAACGCACAGCATTTGTTTGTTGCACAAGTCGACTGACATGATCGGATGTTTTGACTCACACATTTGGTAGATGCATACAATTGTATACAATTTGCAGAAATGGCTGCTCGTAACATCAGTCAGTGGATTTTCTGGTCCTGATTTGATTATTTACAGACCACCATTATACAGCTGAAATATTGTTAGTGGTAGCGTTAGAGAACAAAAGAAACAACAACAGAATTATTCTTGACTCGCGTTATTGGAACTGAAGCCGTCATTAATGCATTGTACACCAATAACCGTTTGCATTAAAATTTTCCTTTCGAATTTACTAAATACACCGTTAAAATTGGATTGTTTGGTCCGAACTCGACTTTTTACAAGTCGCCGTCAGAGCTGGAATATTGCTGAGTGCGGTTTTATACTATGAACACACTAAACTTAACTAGATACATGAACACACATCAAATATTCAATGTAACCCAAATATTTATCAAAACCTTGTTGATATATATGCAGACAAGTGTCATATAGGACGTTATATAATATTAATATTGAACCAGTTTTTGTACAATGTCACAGTCTAGACAATCAGTAAGTTCAAGGGTCTCCACACACTGATAAGGACCCGTCATATGTATTCGCACTTAACTTTTTAGTCTTGGAGATGCTTTTATCTCGACCCAAGACCTTTATCTTTCTACAGATAATCATATTCACACCTTCGGTACAGCATCGCAACAGTGACAGCAGCACCGTTTTATAAGCCTTATTATCCCTTCCTGATCACGTCGTTCTATTCATGCATGCGGACAGGACGAGAATATTCTACCTTTCTGAGTTAATCGGATTTCGTTTTTCTTGGTGGAAACTTCTGGATATTTGACTCTATATTCACTGGATATTTTCACCTAAATGTTACACCTTAGGCATAACTGTTTATCAAGCCACAACTTATAAATATGGGGACTATATAATCTTGAGTGAGTTGAGTTTAAGGCCGCGTCAAACAAATTCGGGGCGAACCGAGATTCTATCCCAAGATCATCGATCAGGTTCCGAGCGAGTCTGTGAGGGGCAATTCTGCACAGCCAATTGTGGTGCCCGAATATACTCTAGACAAATTAACAAAGTATTCATTTCGCATTCACCTACTCTTTAACCCCATGACTAACATAAAAAATGAATACTTTCGAAGACGGCTAGATTGTGAAACGGAGAAATGAAATGAACATGAACATATTACGTGAAATATAACGTGAAGTCCCTCCAGACTATAACAGCACCGAAAACCCGAGAAGACGAAACTTTTAACATTATCCCCATAATGTACAGAGAAATAACCACAGTGTTATTATGATCAAATCGATGGTAAATCGTACTTGGACATACGTTACAGATAATGTTATCTACAAAATAAATTAGGAATCTCATTCCAGCTACCAAACCACATGCCTGATGAGGTAACAGATAAGCCAGGCTATCCTGAAATAGAAATGACTGCGAGTGATTAGATTAAAAATGACCCATTTGTTCATTTGCACGTGACATCTAATATTATTATACCTCAAATAGACTTCAAATCTCATTAATGATGAACGTAAGTGTGAACTCTTGTGAGTCACAAAGTGAAGTTCGAAAATATAAATACTACATACACAAGAAGATGTAGAAGGAAACGGAAGGAAACAACTGGTAGTCATTCAATGTTTCAAAGAAACTTTTATTGCAGATAATGAAGTTAAAGCTTGGCATCCATCCAATATTTCAAACCAGTTGTCAGAAAGAACGCGAACTTTGACAGGAATACTATATTTGAGCATCTCACAATAAGTTTGGATCTTACGAAATTGACATTTCACATTTTTACCTCTGACATATATATTCAAAATAAGATTATCCCAATGATACATTAATAACTCAAAACTAGAGGAATTTACTACTGTTACTATGTTTTAAAAAGTGGCTCTGTCATTTTCAAGTTTTAAATATAAACAAATAAGACATAGTATTATTCTAAAACATAATATTTCACTAAAACTAAAATATATATAATATGTGTATGACTAAAAGGATACCTTGAGTCTAAAGTACATTTAAAGTACATAGATATAATCAAATCATATTTGGATTTCATAATGTGACAATTTTATCAAGATGCCATTAGAACACCATCTGCAACTACAGAAACATACAGCTATGACTAGGCTTCATTATATTAACCGTTAATGGGTGGAAATAGGATACAACAAAACATTAATATATTTGAAGATTTGTTTGGATTATTGTATGTAAATCGACGTTGCTGAGATGTTACATCTAAGAATTGCGACAAAGAAAAAAATAGTTATAAAATGATAAGCATTTATTCAAATTAATTATAGAAAGTTAAATGTTGATAAAGTATATTGACACAGAGGACCATATGGGGTTAGAACGAATGGAGACCCTTATTATTCCTGAAAGATTCTGCTCCAGTAGAAATACTCATGTGTGAAACATGTATAACATATTTTTTTTGTCAACAAATATTCCTTCATTTCGAACCTCCTGCTTCGATTTGTAAAAACCCAAAACATTCAGACTAATGCTGACACGTTTAGGCCCTAGGCAAGTTAACGGTCCAGTATCCTTCAAAAATGGTTTAACAGCCAATGCCCGTCCACTGATTCAACAATCTAAGCTACAAATGAGGGAGACCAGTGGAGCCACCTCATCTGATTCGTATTTATTAGATCTTGGGAAATGTGGAGTGACAGAGGGCTGTCCATGAGATGACCTCGTTTTCCAATAGTCAACTTTCCTTTTTCCATACTTTAGTCATTACGAAAAAATGATCCATTCATATACTTGTCCCCTCCTTTTGACGTTGGAACCTAATGGAATCTGTTTCGGTTAATAATTCAGATGGTTATTGTCTCCCTTTTGCGATATATAGTCTCTATTTCATAATGTCTGAAACACAATAAACTACGTTTACAACGGGCACGTTTATAACAAACTGACGGATAAAAGTAACTTTTTTATGTTACCCCGGCCACATAGTGTAAGTGTTAGGGAAATGCTACAGCGAGCTACTTTTATAACAAACCAGAATTAGTGATCACTCTGAGTTTGTTATAACCGAAGTTTACTGTAAAATCGAGCATGCTCTTCCTATACAGTTTTCATGTATAAATGTTAGACCTTTATCAATGATTTTTTATAAAGGTGCCAATATTGAACAACTTAGTAGTTTTTAAATGATTTTCAGTAATTCATGCTTGTCGTAAGATGCGACTAACGGGATCTGGTGGTCAGGCTCTCTGACCTGATTGACACATGTCAATGGTTCCCAATTGCGCAGATCGATGCTCATGCTGTTGATCACGGGGTTGTCTTGTCAAGATTCGATTATTTACAGACCGCCGCCATTTAGCTGGAATATTGCTGAGTGCGGCGTAAAACTAAACTTACTCCTTCACTCACTCGTAGTTTTAAAAGCCTTATCTTGACCGTGTGGAAGAAATACCATCACCAATGTAATTCTCATTTAAACTTGTATCATACGTTTGTTTTCAATTGATGGGTGGAGGCTACTTTATTGCCGTCACATGATTTCATGCTTATTGAATAGTGATTCATTAGTACAAGATTATATCATAATTTTAATCTTAAAACGACATTTCACAGAGAATTCTTGTGATGATGGAAAGGATTCTTGTGGCTTTGATTTTAGTTATTTATGTCCCTCACAGACATGGTTGGTATTTGGAACGCACAGGAATGCAGGGTAGGGAAAAGTGAACATAAAACATGTATTTGACAAGCAAACTGTTAGAAACATTAAATGTAAAAAGCGAACAGCGTGCTTTCGAAACAAGGTTGTTGTGTCATACACAGAATGGCAGAATACATGTGTACAGCCTGTTATATCATGAAAACATACAATTAAATATGGCAAATAAGAACAGGAATAAACTGAATGATGACATGTTTTAACGTGCTTTTGAAACTGCAGATGGGATAATTACATCTGAACACGAAGAATATATGGTGTAACCGCACATCAATACATTTTCCACATGAAATAATCCAAATAGTTATGGCGACTAGAGGGAACAATAAACTGGCGTATGGCATGCAAATATGGACATTTTTAAAGTCAATATATTTTTTTGTTTCAGCCAAATAACTAAGCTAAATTAAACATAGGTTGTTTTCGGTTCATCCTGGCCTTCCTTTCAGTATATTTTTCAGTTGCATTAAGGTTTCATTAAATGATAACGAACTTTCATTGTCACTTCTGCGTCTCTGCCTGAAGCTATAACAACATTAATCAAATGTTTCCAATCAGTCTTCATCAGTGATGCAATAATTATGATGAACACCTGTTGATGACGTTATGCCAAAGTGTCTGCAAGGTATAAAAGTCTTGGCTCGATCTTCCAACATCACTGAACACGGTTTGAGTTTCACAGTCCAGGTTTCGTCTTTCCACCACCATGAACGTCCTTCTCATGCTGTTCGCCGTTATCGCTGCCTCCAATGCCAGAGACTGTGGACACACAACAGAAATCCCTTCCGAAGCCCCCACTACATTACAAACACCGACAACATGGCCGGAAGAATCCTTTGCTCTTCCCAAACCCATTGCTGGCTGTCCTGGTAGTGAGTGGAAGGAAGGGTCTTTCTATCAAGACACTGAAGATTATTACAACGGAAATACCTGGAACACCACTAATATGAGCGGCATTAAGAAGAAAGACGGTTATTTGAATACTTACTGTGTCATGGATGACGCCACTGCTGGGTCTGGGGCCTGGCCTGCAGGTGCCTACTGCATCTTGAGGAAGAACGGAGTCTGTCCTGGGGTTTTCAGGAAGGTTCCATCCTTTGGGATGATGAAAACAACTACAACATGAACTATGTCACAGAGCAGAGCACCCTCCCCGATGGTGACTTCAACAAGGACACTAAGCTGTTTTATTGTTGTCGTGAGGACGCTGCTCCATCCCAAGAGATAGCCTTGCCAACGTCTGCACCCTTCTACCTCCTGATGAAGAAAGACGTGTGTCAGAAAGTCGCTGGCATGTCGGTGACAACGGAGACGCAGTTCTGGGACGATGAAGACACAAACAACCACAATGCCAGAGAGGGGTCAACTCCTTTCCAAATTGGAGATCGTACCAACGTCGCCATCAACTATTGTTATTACTCCTAACATTGTCTCTATTTAGAAATAAATGGCATCCAACTTAAAGGCTTTTGTAAAGTCTTCTCATTTAAAGTCAAACCCAGTGTGTTTTGTTAGCTTGTAAAATGTTATATTTACACATGTCATCATGCCCCAACTCCGTAGATCGATGCTCATACTGTTGAACACTGAATTGTCTGTTATCGATATTTACAAACCAATGAGTGAGTGAGTTGAGTTTTACGCTGCACTCAGCAATATCCCAGCTATATGGCGGCGGTCTGTAAATAATCCGGTCTGGACCAGACAACCCAGTGATCAACATCATGAGCATCAATCTGGGCAATTGGGAACCGATGACATGTGTCAACCAAGTCAGCGAAACTGACCACCCGATCCCGTTAGTCGCCTCTTACGACAAGCATAGTCGCCTTTTATGGCAAGCACATGGGTTGCTGAAGACCTATTCTACCCCGGATCTTCACGGGTCCACCGCCATATAGCTTTACTATTGCTGAGTGCAGTGTTTAACAACAAACTAGCTAAAACTAAATACACACTAAATGAAATGCAAAACATATCAAAACTTATTATATTGTGGATACATAGACCGAGAACTGTCGTGTAGGACGTTGTATAATTGTAATCCATTTTTGAACAAAGTTATAGTCCAGACAAGCATTTATCATATTCAATTCGAAGATTCTTTTATCGCATCCCAGGACCTTTATATTTCTACAGAGGTAATCTACATTCACACCTTCGGTACAGCATTGCAACAGTGACAGCAGTACCGTTTTATGAGCTGTATTATCCCTTCCCGATCATGTCGTTGTATTCATGCATGCGGACACGACGAGAGCATTCTTCCTTTCAGTGTTAATCGGATTTGGTTTTCCATGGTTGAATTTCTGGATATTTGACTCTTAATATCCCATTTGAAATTTCATCTAAATGTTATATCTTAGGTATAAGTGTTTATCAAGTGACAACTTATTAATATAGGGACTATATAATTTTGAGTGAGGTGAGTTTAAGCCACGTCAAGTAAGTGTTCCAGTTACGGTCTGTCAGCTTGATGTGGAAGGAAATCCCAAGACGCTGCAAAAGTCATACGTTTACCACTTGTATGAAAGCCAAGAGTATGGGTGCTGACAAAAATGAAAACAAATTCGGGGCGTAATCACGATTGCACTAAATTGTTGCAGAACAGAACATATTCCAAAGTAGTGGTAAAAAGTATTTGATTGGATCTCTGGCATAGGATAAATGTCATATGAAACTCTAAAATGATGTCCGATAATTACGGACCTGGAGTTACCTTTGAATGTGTTTCTCAAAGTAACTCCATAATACGACTTCGACAATATCGTTGATACAACACTTTAGAATAGTGATGATACCAGGTGTTTGTGAAGAGCATACCTGCCTACCTGCATATCGTTAGAAACACATCCAAAGGTAACTCTATGTCCATAATTATAGGAGATCCATTTAGAGGACACTCTAAAACATTTCATTCAAAATTACTTTTATCATTTATGTTCAAAACAAATTTATGCCAATGAAACATTAATAACACAGGACTAGAAGAATTTACTAATGCTACTGCGTTTTTAAAAAGTGTAAACAAATAAGACATACCATTATTCTAAAACATAATATTTCACTACAACAATAATACATATTGTATGTGTATGGTATCTGAGAGGACACCTTGAGTTTGAAGTACATTCGATTGTCACAATGTCAGTAGTCACTGAAATAATCACACACATAGAGATTAAGCAAATCATGTGTGGAAATTTTGAAAGGACTAATTCGACAGAAAATAACAGTGTAAAGATTACGTTGTAAATGTCAGTACATATTCACACTTTTTGCGTTTTCGTTTCAGATAATGAAACCAGCAATTGTTTCACATAACTGGCTCACATAACTACAGATAAGATTCTTTGTTTAGATTTACTTTTCTCTAATTAGAACACCATTTGCATCTACAGAAACATACAGCTATAACCATTGCTCATTGTAGTAATCGTTAATGTGTGGAAATAGGATACAACAAAATAACTATGTATTTGAATATCCGTTTTAAGTAATGTGTGTAATTTGTCATTGCTGAAATGTTACATCTAAGAATTGCGACAAAGAAGGAAATAGTTCTAAAATGACAAGCCATTATCTAAATTAAGTTAGAAAGTTAAAAGTGTGTAAAATAAATTGACACAGAGGACCATATCGGGTTAAACGAATGGAGACCCTTATTTCTTAAAGATTCTGCTCCAGTAAAAAATACTGTTGTCTGAAACACGTATAACACATGTGTCAGCTTTGTTGTCAACAAATATTCCTTCATTTCGAACCTACTGCTTGGATTTTTTTTTTTTTTAAAAACATTCTGAATAATGCCAACAAGTTACGGCTTGAGGTATGTCAATGATCCAGTATCGTTAAAAAATGGTTTAACAGTCAATTCCCGTCCACTGATTCAACAATCTAAGCTACAAATGAGGGAGGCCAGTGGAGCCACCTCATCTCATGAAATTCGGAGTAGCAGAGGACTGTCCATGATATGACCTCGGTTTTCCAATAGTCATTTTTCTAGCGGCCGGTACTTTTGGTCACTGCTGAAAAAAGCTTATCCATTCATATTATTTAAGAATTGAATGTCAGTTTGTGTGTTTGCACTGAAAAATGAACGATGTCAAAGCGGTGTTCAAACTCGTGTGAACGAGCGAGTTTACGAGCGAGTTCACGCGAAAAGAACTGAACAACGCTTTGACATCGTTCATTCGAATGCTAAGCTACCTAAACAACATTCAATCTTATAATTCACACTTTGAAGTTTACACATACGTTTTCCACCCACTTGTAGATGATCATTGTTTGAGTGTGTTTTAATACCTGTAAAATGTTGTAATGCCATTCGGTTCAAGAACGTACGTATTGCAGCGATGTTTGTATACACAGCGATTTTTTTTTACACATGTATCCCAACCCTTGAAGAAATAGTTCTCAAAGTATTCGATCTTTAAAATATAACAACAAATTCGTTATGAGGTTTGAAACTGCTTTAATAAGTATAATCAATAACAGTATCAAACAGAAACAAATATCAGAAGCAATAACAATACCATTTTAACAAACTGGCATTGTACCTTTTCACTTGTAAATACCTTGTTTGACCGCGTAATAATACACTGACCGACTTCGAAGTTGTGCGGCGTGGCGAATAGGAAACAGATCTTGTTGTATTCTATTTATTTGTGATTGTTTATTGTGAAATTTATTGAGCAGTTGTTAAACAGACCTCGGGGCAGAAAACCGCCGGATGAACCCGCAAACTGCGAGACATTAAACTCCTGTGAAAGGAACAATGTTCGGCAATCCGTTTGGTAGTGACATTGCCAAACTTGGGGTGACTTGAAACAGGTTCGTTCGCGAAATTGGTATCACCAATTATTGGGGGTCCTTGAAACCGAAGCGAAAAACGTTCACACACGTATGAACGGTGTTTACACAAGTATGAACGATTAGAGGGGTTCAAGAGTAATGAACCTTGAAATTTAGATCACATGACCGCTCTCTCAACCAACCAACGTTCGGGAATCTGTGTAAACTTGAAAGCACGAAATGATCAAAAGCCTTAAAAGCGTTTTATGCTGACCACGTGGAAGAAATCACTGATCCAATTCCCAATTAAATGTCATATGTTCCCGTTTCATCAACTGAAAACTAGTCTTTGCGCATCTTATAATGGGTAACACCGATGGTGGAGGCTACGATTTCGCAAACACATGGTATCATCACTATTGAAAGGTGATTCATAAATACATGATCATAATGTAATCTTAATCTTAAAAAGGAATTTCACCGAAAATTCTTATGATTATGGAAAGGATTTCAGTTGCTTTGATTATAGTCATTTGTGTCTGTTACAGATATGGTTGGTACTTGCACACAAATGAATGTATAAGCTGTAAGGAAAAGTGAGCATTAAACATTTGGTGAGAAGAAAGCTGTTACTGAGAAACTTTAAATATAGAGAGCGTACAAGGTGCATTCAAAACATAGTTGTGTGGCATAAATAAAATGGAAGAATATACGTGTACAGTATGGTAGATCATGAAAAATAACAATTGCATGTGGCGAATAAGAGCAAGAAGATCTGAAACTGAATGATGGCATGTATCTATGAACACGCTTTTAAAACTGCAGGTGAAACATTTACATCTAAACAAGAAACATATATGGAGGAAACACACATCAATATATTTTCAACATGACATAATGCAATTACTTCTGGTGACTGGAGAAAGATGACGTGGGTCATATATTAAAAAATACAATACTTTGAAAACTCAACCCTTTTCGTTTCAGTTTACGTGTACGGTTCACTAAAATATTGGCCGTCCATTTAGTATCTTTAAGTGACAGTTTCATTAACGTTTAATTGACTGATAACAAATTTTCATTGTCAGCTTTTGCGTCTCTGCCTGAAGCTATAACTACATTAATCAAAATGTTTCTAATCAGTCCTCATCAGCTATGCAATAATTATGATGAACACCTGTTGATGACGTTATGCCAAAGTGTATGTGATGTATAAAAGTCATGGCCCAATCCTCCGACATCACTGAACGCTCTTTGATTCTCATAGTCCGGGTTCGTTCGTTTCTCCACCACCATGAACATCCTTCTCCTGCTCTTCACAGTTATTGCTGCCTCAAGTGCCAGAGACTGTGGACACACAACAGAAATCCCTTCCGAAGCCCCCACTACATTACAAACACCGACAACTTGGCCGGAAGAATCCTTTGCTCTTCCCAAACCCATTGCTGGCTGCCCTGGTAGTGAGTGGAAGGAAGGGTCTTTCTATCAAGACACAGAAGATTATTACAACGGAAATACCTGGAACACCACTAATATGAGCGGTATTAAGAAGAAAGACGGTTATTTGAATACTTACTGTGTCATGGATGACGCCACTGCCGGGTCTGGGGCCTGGCCTGCAGGTGCCTACT